CCCTCTTCCCTCGCCCTCTGCCGCGGGAGGCCAGGTTGCTGCAGGCTCGTCCCGGCCAGGGAATCCCAGCGCTGCAGGCCCGTGTGCCTTTAAGAGTGCCTTGTGGGGGGCCAGCGCGCACCCCGGCGCGGGAGCCGGGTTGCGTTATTAGCATTATTAGCCGCCACTGGGTGAGCCCCGGCACTTTGCCGCGGTGATGGGGGCGGGGAGTGTTGGCAGTAGTGGCTCTAATCCCGTCCGCTGGGAGAGCGCGCCCCGGCCCCCTGCGCGGAATCTGCCCTGTCCTTTGGAAACATTTGGGCCTCCGCTTTGGGAGAGCGGGAGGGGGGCAGTTTGTGAACTCTTGTTTGTTTTAATTGTCAGTTGTATGTTAAAGCCGAGTCACACACTGCGAGGGTCACCGGGAGTTCACTTTTGCGAAAAGTTAACATTTCTTCCTGCAATATAACTTGTTATTTTCCAAACAACTTCTCCTCTGTCTGTCCTCCAAGCTTCGCTCCTTATTTCCACTTTTCTTGATCCTCTCCCATTTTGCTTTTCTAGAAAATAAGGTTGGAGTTAGAATTAAGATGTTTCCTAAAGCAAACAAATTCCCGCTCGTCCTCCTCCCCCAAAAAAAGTTTTAAAAAGAACCCCAAATCTGGAGACCTCGGGGCCTTGTTTTACTTTCCAAGTCCAGTTTGGCATCGGGGTCCCTTCTCCTCTCCCGTTTTTCAATGGACAACCCCGCTGTTTGGAAGTCACTTGGAGCCAGGGGTGGGATCGCATCTCCCCAGCCCCTGCCCTCCCGCCAAGATTCACTGCTGCTCCAGCCTGATAGGGAGATTTCGTTTCCAGACAGTCTCTGCCAGGGAAGTTTCGAGGGGGCAATGTCGAAAGCGCGCAAGCTGTGGAGACGCCGTGGAAGTTGTGTCCGAGTGTGTAGATCTGTGCCCTGCGTGTGGGGGGCGAGGGGAGTAAAGGACCAGTTGTTCTCAAGTCTTGGGCTTACTAGCTAGCCTTAATCCCGCCGGGCCCCACAAAGGAGGACCTTCCCCAGGAGGACTGGCCCGAGAGTCCCTGGCCTTTCCGTTTCCTCACCAGAGCGCCCCGGTGCATAAGGGGTTAGCACCGTGCGCACGGAGCTCAGCTCTTCCCGCTGCCTTTTCATCCTCGCAGTGCGGTGCCGGCTGCCCCCTGTTGGCCGCCTTGAGGTAGGACGCCTGGGAGTCTCTTCCTTGCGGTGGGCAGTCAGCTGCTCTTCTCTCCCTCCCACCTCTGGCTCGGGTCGGCCTTCCCGACCACCAGGTCCTCCTCTCTCGCGAGGGCCCCTCAGAGGCCCCCAGAGGACAAGCTGCTCTGCGTGGTCGCCGCAGTACGGAAGGAGCCAGGGGTCCGATCCAGCAAACGGGGCTTCGGGGGAAAGGAGGAAGGGTTTACCTCCTCCCCAGGGCGTACGAACAGGAGCGTCGCCCTAGGAGGCCTAGGGTAGGGCCTTGGCGCTCTCACCGGGGCTGTCCGCGGGAGCCAAGTGTTGCTTTCTCCTTCTCGGCTTCAATTTCTTCGTCTATTAAAAAGTGGAGTTGAAACTGCCTCTGCAGTGTGGGGGTTGAACTGATCTTTAATTTTATTTCTCCTTCACTCTGCTCTTCCTCTGATAAAGTTGAGAGCCTGTGCTTGGAGGTTAACCGGTGTGAGGTGTGAGTGAAGTGAGAGAGAGAGAGAGAGAGAGAAAGTCTTGAAGTCTGAAGAGACTTGTCCTGGGATGGAAGTGGGGAGACAGAGAACAGAACCGGTCTTGGCCACCGCTCTTCCTTTGGAGACTCCTTGTTCTCGTACTTGCTGTTCAGTCCTGATCCGGGGCAGTCCTTGCACTGATTTGGTCGCAAGGAGCTCCCTCCACCTTCTCTCTCGGGCTTCCCCACACCGCCCCCCCCCAACACACACAACACAAATGCAGCGCTGTGGACACAACAAGACGGTGAGGGGTGGCCTCGGTCCCCCCGGGCCCAGGCTAGAGGCTTAGGGGAGCCCTACATCCTTGTACGTTCCCCCAAAGCGGACCTCCTGTGGGCCTCACCAGGCTCATCCCCGTCCGCTCCCGCTTCTCTCTTGGCACTTCCTGGGGCAGGACGTCCCAACTTTGTGGTGCAGCCTTTTATCTCCCGCCCGTTTTCCGTTTCTCTCCTTTAGGGAGAGATCACAGTGGGGAAAACAAAGTTTATTTCCTACCAAGAGCAAGGATTCTTGAAGTTTCCTATCTTTTTAGCCACCGCGAGCCCAGGTCAAACTCATTTCTGACTCCTAGCTGGTCTCCCCCTTCATTTCCATTCTCCCAGACTTGGGGGACCCTGGACTTAAAAAACCTAGTGGAAGGGGATGCCCAGACCGAATGAAGTAGCGCCCGTGGGTGAGGTTCGAGAATCTTCTTCCTGCCTTTGCGGAATTTCTCTTTAGGGGCCGCGGGGCTGAGGACTTGGGTGCTGGGCGCCCTCTCGGACGCTCTCTGTGGCTGGGCAACCGCCTCTAACCAGAGTGATGATTTCCTCTCTCCCATCCCTCATCACCCCCAGCCTGCACCCCAGTGGATAATAAAGGTTTAGGAACACCTTCAATCCAATGCGGAGGCTTTGGAAAGACAGAATAAGCATCACTACGTTGAGCTGCTCTGGCTTTGGAAACTGGGGCTCACGAATGCCCTACCCCCACCTCAGCCCTCCCCTGCGCTAGAACCTCTCAAGTGCCCTCAATCCTCCACCCCATCGCATGCTAGGAACAGATTCTGAGGATCCTTACATAAGTGGGCTTCTCATGGCCCTGAAAGTGTTCCAAAGCATTTAGCCGGTTCTCTAGTAAACTCAGCCTCCGCCTAGAACTTTTGTTTTACCCCCGGCGTGACAGTCTCCGGAGAGGTCTCATTTCGTACTGTCTTTTCGGATCAGATCTCTTGGTAAACAGGCAGGGGTGTTTACCCTACAGAGTCGATGTATTTATTAGTGAGTTCGCTGTGGGTTCTTTCAGTCCTTCAAACTTGTGGGGCCTTTTTGGGGGTTGCACGGGGGTTGGAGCGGGAAGAGGGCCAAGCTGTTTCCGGGCAAGCACGCGGGGTTAAGTGGAGACGCGACTCGCAGGGCTCTCCTGCCGGATCCCCTTTGGGACACCTCTGGCCTGCCCCCAGTCTGGAGCTGGGGAGACCCGAGTCTCGGAGACCCAGTGACCCACTCCCAGTTAGGAACGGGCGGACTCTCCCCGGGGTCATCGGGCCCAAAGTCGGTTCGGTTTGTGTGGCTTCGCCTCTAACAAAGAGATCCGCTGTAATCCGCCGAATCTGTTATCAATTTCTCTGCTGCCTGTGCCCCGCCCCGCGCGCCCCGCCCGTCGGGAAGCTCGGAAAGTGCGCGCGGCCAGCAGCCATCTCCGCAGGCGTCTCGGAAGCACGTCGGTGCGTGTGTGTCTATGAACGCGTTTGAGTGTGTGAATGTGCATGGGTGTGTTGTGAGTGTGTGTGCGCGCGCGGCCTTGGCCGCGGAGGGGGAGAGGCGATTTTGCAGCCTGGGCCGCGCGCGAAGTTAGACCTCGCAGCCCACCCCCTCCCCTGGAGGAAACTTGACACTTCGGGCGGGGGTGGGGAGGGAGACCGAGCCTTCTCTCTCCTAGGCTGGGGAAACCCCAGGTTTCTATTCTCCGGGATGCGCCCCTAGCTTTGCGGCGTTTGGAGAATGAGTGGGTCAAGGGCTCAGAGCCCCCGTTAGTGGGCACCGGGGACCACATAAGCATTTCCTCCTGGAGAAGCCGCGAGCTGTCCTGGTCAAAGGGACGGCGGGCATAGAAAAACCTTGGCACGCTCCTGGGCCCCCTTCGCTTTTCCATGGCTGCCTAGATCCTCTCTGTCCCTTTGACGGCTCACGTTCCAGGCCCTTCGGCCGCCTTGAGGAGGCTCACCTTTGCTTTCCCGAGGAAGGGGCTCCTTCGGGGGCTGCGGGTGGTGCAGCGCAGCCTGGTTACACTTATCAGAAACGTAAAAGGGGATTTTGGAAAGCCGCTCCTCCCACCCGCACGCGCCACTGTCTCGCGCCCCCGCCGCCTACAGGTGGAGAAGTCACCAGTGGGGAGGAACGGCCGCGAAAGCTTCCAAGGCCGCCCCCTGCCCGCGAAATTCTTCACGACGGGAACCTTCGCCGCCGGAGCCCTCTGCTCCCTGGAATCCAGGGGCTCCGCCGCGGCGCGGGAGCCAGCGCATCTCTGGCCCCGCCGAGGGCTCACTCGCGCCGGCTGTGGCCTCACCCTGCACGCTCACCGTTCGGGACTTACCGAACCGAGTCTGAATCGGGCTGGAGGGTGGGGTGGAGGTGTTCTAAGGCCAGGCTCACAGGGCCGCGATGGCGAAGTGGCCGACAACCCCAGACCAAGACCAAAGGAAACTGGAGTCCCCCTTGGCGTCCTTTCCTCTTTCTCCGTGGCAGCTGTCAGGAGTGGGGACAGAAGGGGAGCGGGAAGGAGAGTGAAATGAAAAATCAGAATTTGTGGGAGGGCAGGGAAGGGATCCTCTCCCAGGACAGAGGGACCCGGACCCCCTTCTTCCCTCAGGGGTACTATGCCTTGTCCCCTTCTCGGGGGTACACTTGAGTTGTAGAAGGAGGCTGCAGGCAGGGGAAGGAGCACTGTTTTTCCGGTTTCCTTGGTTGAGAGAGCAGAGCTCTCTCCCCGTTATCCCCAGTGCCCCCCATCTCCTCCCCACTACAATCTGGTTGAACAGTGTCCTAAAGAAACCCAGGCTGCCCTTCCCCCTCTGGAAGTGGCTTCCCCCAAAGCGGCCTGTAAACTGATTAGGAAACATACGCTGTTAATTCCGAGCTGCATTTCCCAGCTGGGCACTCTCGCGGACGCCGCTCCCCGGGGCCTCGCCCCCCACCCCCTGCCCTTCCCTCCCGCGTCCTGCCCCCACCCCCACCCCCCACCCCCGCGCCGGCCACCCCGCCTCCTCCGCAGCCGCCGGCGGCGTGCTCCACTCGCCTTCGCGCTCCTCTCGCCCATGGAATTAATTCCGGCTCCACTTGTTGCTCGGCCCAGGTCTGGGAGCGGACGAGGGTGGCTGCGGGTTCCCGAGTGAATTCCCGAGGAGGGACCCAGCACAGCGCGGACTAGAGGGGAGCGAGGGGGTGCGGGAAGCGAACAAGCAGGAAAGAGGCAGCGCTTGGCACCGGGGCTTTGACTCAACAGCATTGAGACATGTTTGTAATCGCTGGCGTGCCCCGCGCGCAGGATCCCAGCGAAATCAGATTTCCTGGTGAGGTTGCGTGGGTGGATTAATTTGGAAAAAGAAACTGCCTATATCTTGCCATCAAAAAACTCACGGAGGAGAAGCGCAGTCAATCAACAGTAAACTTAAGAGACCCCGGATGCTTCCGTTGTTTAAACTTGTATGCTTGAAAATTATCTGAGAGGCAATAAACATCTGCTCCTTTCTTCCCTCTCCAGAAGTCGATTGGAATATTAAGCCCAGGAGTTGCTTTGGGGACGGCTGGAAGTGCAATGTCTTCCAAGTTCTTCCTAATGGCTTTGGCCATATTTTTCTCCTTCGCCCAGGTTGTAATAGAAGCCAATTCTTGGTGGTAAGTTCCTTCTAAGTACATATTCTTTGTTTTATTTTATTTTTTTTGAAGATTCGTGGGTATGATGCTACAGTATTTAAAGCTGAATTGTGAGTTTGAGTGCCTTTATCTGGTATATACGTGTATAATGTATTTTGTTTATATATCTGGAAATCAGAATTTTCTTTTAACTTGTTAATGTCGTCAAGCTTAATCTTTAGCTCCGGAGGGAATGGGACCCTATAAATCTACACCTTTTTCTATGAGGCCCTTGTTCAGATGTCTGCTTGTAGTACATCATGTAATAAAAGGGGACCGAAATTCACTTCTCTAATAATTGTAAGCCTATCTATAAAATTTACTTTTGCCACCTCTAGGTAGTAAAAGTGAGTTCCAGCTTTTATTTTTTGTCACTTGAGGTTATTAACCTTCAGGGTCTGAGGTAGGCAGAGTGTTCTAGGAAGACAGCTACACTCCAATTGGGGAAGTATTGGGGCTTGAAATTTGATCAAAAGGAGGTGAACATGAAGTAGTCAAACGTCCCTAAATGAGCCTTTCTCTCTGGTTAGGGGCCTTGTAGATAGACTGCAGTATATCCAGAGGATTATTTTTGACGGCGTTCTGGATATTTTTTTCCCTGTAAATGAACAGCGTTTTTTCTGACTGTCAAACATGACTTGTATTCACTGGATACCCTGTCTTGGGTCTTTCACAATCACATAAGGGGCCCTTTTAAAATGTCCAGAACATGGTGAATTTTCTTCAGTCTCTCTACTTGGGTCCCTGTTCTTCCGTCAGTCAGAAGGAGCTGCTATCTCCTCCACCCCGCGTCTCATTGTGTCTACTTTGGGCATACATACGCTTTCAAGGCAGATCCGTCCAATTTGTGAGGCAAAGTGAGTCACTTTCTCTAATGTCAGAGGCCCGTCCCCCAAGCCATCTCCCCCTTTTCTGAGTGCGCATTTCGGAAACATGGGTTCAGGTAGATGGCAAGGAGGGCAAAGAACGGAGTGAAAACCTGACTGAGGAGCCAGATGGCGGGGTGGGGACAACACAATACCTCCGTTTTCTGAGCGCAGTTTGAACAGAGGAGTTTTATGAAGCCCTTCTACTTTGTCATGAGGACAAGCCGGAGAGAAAAAGCATCTGTGTGCTGAAAACTCTGTCTCGCTGACATGCGTTCAGGGGGCCTACGTCGAGAGTTCACGTAAATCTTGAATGCATATCTCCCCCCCCCACCCCTTCTAGGTCGCTAGGTATGAATAACCCCGTTCAGATGTCAGAAGTATATATCATAGGAGCGCAGCCTCTCTGCAGCCAGCTGGCAGGACTTTCTCAAGGACAGAAGAAACTGTGCCACTTGTACCAAGACCACATGCAGTACATAGGAGAAGGCGCGAAGACGGGCATCAAGGAGTGCCAGTATCAATTCCGGCATCGGCGGTGGAACTGCAGCACCGTGGATAACACCTCTGTGTTTGGCCGGGTCATGCAGATAGGTAGGACACTGCGTAACAGACGTTTAAATAGAGATCAAGCCTTCTCCTGCAGAAGGGCTTCCCTGCGCACTTGGGAGCTTGCTAAGGAGGGAATTTTCCAGCAGGATGAGGGCGGGGGAGTGTTGGTCACTACTGCGGGCCTTAATGCTGGTTCCCACACCTTGATGATAATAAGTTTGGGGGCGCTCACTCCTTTAGCCAAATCAGAAGGGAAGCATCAGAGACACCTTCATTTTTCTGAACCCTGCATTTTTTTTTTCTAAAACGCCTTCTGTTTGGAAGAGAAGCAGAACGCTTATGTTGGTTTCTCAAAAGGAGGTGAGGAAAGATGAGTCATTTATATCCTTTTAAACTTCAAAACTCTTTTCACGGTTAGAAGTCTCTTAAGCCACAATTCAAATGGCCCACGCATCAAACTAAATACTGTCATCTTTCGAATGCTGGCTATGTTGGAAGTGAATAAGGTTTTAATTTTCCTAATATAGATATTTCCTGAGGCTATAGAGATATATATGTTAGAAGCTTTATTTTTAGTCCCAGAAAGAATTTTAATTAGAAGTGATCCAATTTACGTTGCGATTTTGGCAACTGATATAAAAGCACATGCTAGAAACTTAAAAAAAGTCTTAAATGTATTGCTCACAGTCTGAGTCTTTATGTTAAACGTATCGTTGAACTTGGTATTGCATGGAGGGAGGAGGCGGCATTAAAATGGGGCTAAAGGCAAAGAATTTGGAAACTCAGTTTGCCTCTGGTTTGGTTTACTAGCATAGGATACTATCTGACAGATGTGATCCTGTATGTGTTTTCTAGTGTGAATATTTTAGGTCCATTTAGTATTATGCAAACAAGCCCTTATAATTAATACGACCGCGGTGATTCCTAAAATAAGAAGCCATTTATCAGAGCAATTAACTGTTTAGACTGACTGAAGATAAAAAAGTTGGCTTAATATCCGTCACGGATGGATAAAATGCTTTTTTAAAAACCCTGAAAAGTGCATTCATTGAGAACAAAAAAGAGTTGTCAGTGGATGTTTGAGGCCAGCGACTTCATATACTAAAATAATACGGGACTGGAAGCCATTCCTCTAAATGAATGGCAAAGTGGTCTGCAGCTCTCAGCCTGCAGTTTCATAGGGCTTTGTCCTTCCTGTTAATGATTAAAATGTGCTAATGTATATACTGGAATCTGAATCTAGGAGTTGAGCGGCAGGGACACAGGAGTTTGCCCTGAACGTGGACTGCCCTCTGTAGTTAACTGGGGTGGTGGAGATTCTCTTCTGCATTGTCATATTGTGAGTAAGCTCACAACTGGTTTGTGTGTTGGTTTGTTTTAGCTGTATCAGAATGGTAAGTTGTCAGCTTTGCCTTATATATATTCCCCCTAAACTGCCTTCCTCTCAAACTCTGGGAGCACTTTTTCACATGTGTGTGAGTTTGCAAAAGCCATACATTTTTGATAGTAACCAGGAAGCAAAACAGCAATTGGAATGGTTTTTCTGTGTCGTCACTGGAACAGGGCTTTGATTTAAGATCCTCTTCTCATCTTCCGATGTAGCCTGTGTTGGGCCAAAATGTTCAGAATAAGCTATCATTTGCTAAGTGGATTTGAGTTCTGCTGGAGATTTATTTAAAATGTGGTCCAAGATTCAAAGAGTCTGCTTCCTCAGGGAACAAGCAGAACCTTTGGTACAAAGGCTTATAGTTAATTGTCCCTTGCAAATACACTGTCTGGTCCTCAGTTGTGTGGTACTCCCATCTGGGTTGGTGGCAAGTGGGTGGGAGTAGAACCTCCTGGCAGCCTCCGAGGGCGCCCTGCTAGATCCTCCCATCAAGCTAGCTGATGTCCTGGGCATCTGAGAGCACACCCCATCCTCCTTTGCCCAAAGCCCCCCAGGTTCCCGGGATCTTATAGCAGGAAGCTGCTGCTGGGCTTTCGGTGGAACACTGCTGGGGCCTTCTCTTCTATTTATTTAAAAAAGAGATGGAGGGAAGAGAAACCAGAATAGATTTTTGTGGAAGGGGAACATGGACCCAACCCTAACAGTTGGAAATTTACTTGGCTTTCACTTTTCTATTTATGAGTCTGTTTGAAGAGAAGGAGCTAAGGGAAAGTTTAAGACACCTTTGATGCTGCAGTGTGTGTGTGTGTGCGCGCATGCATGCACCCACTCCAGAGCATTTAGTACAACCAGGGACATGGAGAGCAATTCGTGTCCGTGAGAATCTGACCCTGTGATGGGGCCAGTGTCTGAGAAACTCAGGCTGCCACTTCCATCCCTCTTTGACTCATTTTTCTAGGGTGCCAGTTGCCTGGGAGGCACTGTATGTACACAATTGGCCAGTGAAGGGCCCACTCTTCATTTTGGAAACTTTCTCATTTTTCATCACGCTACCCTTTCCTCCAGCTTTTGTCTCTGTCTCTTCTTTGTCTCCACACTGTGAAAAGATATATAAGAAAGGCTCCATTTTTAAGGGGTGCGAAGGTCCGAAGAGATGTAGATTTCACAGGGAGGGAAACCGAACTAAACCAGCAGTGTTCCATCCGGGATGGCTGTGTCCACAGGCTATCAGCCAAAGAGCACTTTTCAAACTGACGTTTTTCCCTTCAGTGACCAATAAGCTTAAGAGATTTCGACCAGGTTTGGGTGTCAGGGCGAAAAAAGGAAATGCTCAAGGTAGACCCATGAAAAAAGCAGTATTATTGTGTTTTGTATAAAAGTCCTTTTATGCACTGTCTACGCCCAGGACAGTGCCTTATGTTTATCTGTCCCCACAGGACTGTTGATCTATCTTCCTCTAGCTCCTGCCTTACTCTACAAGTCTCCCATCCAGGGCCACCACTTCTATACTATCAGTGTTAATCCTCAAATAACTCCCTAGAAACTATCTGCTCACCTCATTTCTCTCCACTCCCTGATGTGTCCTGCCTCTCTCATTTGAGCTAGATAGATGTAACACTCCTTAGGAACTTTCTGGATCCTCCTGCCAACCACCAGCACACCCCTTAAATTATTCATTTTTTACATTGTGTGAGAGAAGGTCTGTGGTAACCAGGAACCTTGGCCATTCCTGGAAGGAGGAATCACAGATATTTGTGGATTGAAGTGTGGAGCTCAAGTCCCAGAAAGGGCAGCCTGCTGGATCCTGGAATTGGCCTAGCCATCCTCCTCAGACGGACCCTTCTAGTTGGGGCTGAATCCCCTGTTGTCATCTGTTCTTCTGCTGTACCACCCCCCCCCCAAAAAAAAAGATGGTTAGCAAGTTCTTAAAGTGTGGGAGAAACTTATGCTGGTACAGGGATTTCAGCACCAAAATCGGCCTTTTTTTCTCCTAGGCATCTAGTTCAATGCCCTTATTTTATAGTTGAAGAAAGTGAGCCCCCCCGCCCCCCGCCCCAGTATACCCCTCAGGCCCAGCTTCAGTGGGCCGGGTGTTAACCCTCTCTCTCTGGTACCACTACATTTTTATTAAGTGGCTTCTTGTTACACATGGAAACATCTCCATGTACAAGTGGGAATTGAGGTAGTCTGTGATTGCCTCCATTTGCCTCCTGACAAATGGGACTTCTCTGTCAGTGGTACAGGGAAGTAGCCTTTATAGGTTTTGAGAAAGGGAAGACTTTTCCCCTCAGATTGTGGTTTCTTCCTTCTTGCAATTTATTGTCACACTTTGAGGCAAAGGCTATGGGGGGAGGGGGGTTTGCAGAAGTAGCATAAAAGGCAGCAGGCAGGCTGTTTTAAAAGTAGACCTCCATCTTCCTGAAGGCGAAGTACCAGGCCAATTGACTTGGGATTTAAGAAGAGGCAAGTTTCACTGTAATACTCTAGGAACAACAGGTTTAGAAACGTCCTTTGGGGATGTCAAGAGCCTTGTCCTGAGACGGGCACCATGCTGCTTCGTGATGGAGCAGGGGAAGCCAGGCCCCAGGAGGACGGCCTTTGGGTCCCAGGGCCTAAGACTTTCAGAGGCTCTAAGCCTAGCAAATTCTGTGCTTCCGCCGGAGGTAACTCAAAATGAAAATGACACCAAACCTTAAAATAAGTGTAAGGAAGTCTCCCCACATTCTGTTCTCCCTCAATGACTTCTTTCATGTGATTTGGGGAAGTAAGTTTCCAGGATTTTCAGGGGCTGGAGGGAAAAACCAACCCAGCGCTGCCCCAGCTGGCTCTTCAGTGTCCCAGCAAAGACCTCGGGGGTCTGTCACTTGCTGCTGCCGCGTGTTGGGGCGGCTCTCCTGGCCTTCCCTGGGGGTGCCCCCGGCCCCCTCTACCCCAGTGGGTGCCCCGGGGCCGCTGGGTGGGAGGGAAGGGGTGGGGCTCCGGGGGGGGTCCTCAGAGCCGGCAGGCGCCCGGTGACCCCCCGCGTCCCGCCCACAGGCAGCCGCGAGACGGCCTTCACGTACGCGGTGAGCGCCGCGGGGGTGGTGAACGCCATGAGCCGCGCGTGCCGCGAGGGCGAGCTGTCCACCTGCGGCTGCAGCCGCGCCGCGCGCCCCAAGGACCTGCCGCGGGACTGGCTGTGGGGCGGCTGCGGGGACAACATCGACTACGGCTACCGTTTCGCCAAGGAGTTCGTGGACGCGCGCGAGCGGGAGCGCATCCACGCCAAGGGCTCGTACGAGAGCGCGCGCATCCTCATGAACTTGCACAACAACGAGGCCGGCCGCAGGGTGAGTCCCGCCCTGCCCGCCCCGGCCCGCTCGGGTCCCCAGGCTCGGCGGCCGTCTCCGGCCCTCGGCGCCCCCCAGCGCCGCCCTCCAGGTGTACCTACCCCCCAACCTCGGCATCGGGCCCCCACCCTTTCTGATTCTGGCTCTGTCTCAGGTCGCTTTCCCTCCCTCTCTGCTCCCCTGTCTCCTTCCCTTCCTCCTGCCCCACCTACACCTAGGCCTCTCTGGAGAGGGGTGCACGCCCCAGAAAGGCCTCCTGGAGGTGAATCATCCTGCCCTGGTCTCCTCCAGCAAAGGTGCTCCTGCAGTTGCCCGAGAAAGAGCTTTCTCTGCCTTTTTAATGAGTCCCCAGTGCAATTGGCCAGCCCGGCTCAGAAATAAAAATGTGAATAAAGTTCGCCCTCCTCCCCAAAACATGTTTGTGGTTGGGCTTAAATTTGGGAGAGGGAGTTCTTTATGCCGGTAGGTGCCCAGTTGAGAAAGTCCTCAGCTCAGCTTCCTGGACTTAAGCTTTTCCCTCACTTGCTTTCTCCTTGCTTCCCCTCATGGCATTAGATAGCAGGCCTGACAGATTGAGGGTTTTGTTTTGTTTTGTTTAAAGAGCTTTTCTAGGAAAACTACAGCATTTTTAGGAGTGTGGAATTTTATAGGGCTGCCCATCAGGCCAATCGAGGGTGGATCTGGGTAGAAGAGAGAGCCACTCAGAAGTGCCCAGAGAGACCAGCTTTGCAAGCCCTCACCAGCCTTCTGGGTCCACTCTTTCCTTCCCCTGGTGGGAAGCTTCTCCACAATAGTTAAAAAGACCCTTTTTTTCCTGCGGTTAAACACATGGCACTTTATGGCTGCTTTAAAATGAAGGGGTGAAACTTTGCCTAAGTTTGGCAGCATTGAAAACCAGGGTCATTATTTTTTCACAGAACCCAAGGTAGGTGCCAGGAACTTTCTGGTCAGAGATTTCACTCTTCTGTATTTTGGGGCGAGGAAAAGGGAAGATAATCACAGAGTAAAATATAGAGGACTAGGAGGAGCCTTAGAACCTTCTAACCACACACCCTCATTTGTAAAGCTTGGGAAACTGAGGCCCTAGAGAACCACTTCATGGCCATGGGGGAAAATTGATGGATTGAGATACAAGCCCAGGCACATTTTTTATTAAACTCATGCATCACAGCTCAGGAGTAAAGGGCTATCGGTTTTGGAATTAAAGAAATCTAGATTAAGATCTGTTCTGTTCCTTTCCGTGTATGAGCCTCAGTTTCCACATTTCCACATCTGTTGGATGGCCATGGCATGAACTATCACTTGGGGTTATGTGAGGACTAACTGGGATCATATAGGAGGTGGATCCATATGAAGTTTTACCAACGCTTGACTATCTCTGACCAGTAAAATAAGAGTTTCACATGGTTCAGTCAGAAGGGCTGAGTTTAGTGTCTGCCTTTAGTAAGTGCTTGATAAATCATAATTGTTAGACATTATGAAGTAGGGAACAGAGAAGTCAAAGACTATCTAGATAATTCCAGCTAACCTAGCTTCTCACTTAAGCATGTGGAGGTATTGGGGAAGGATTAAACTCGGCAGATTTTTGCCTGTGGTGCCCTGAGGGGTCACATTATTGCCCCAGAGGGAGTGTGGCCTCTCCTTTCTCAAGCCTCCCATTGCTGTCTCTCCCCACTGCAGCTGACCAAGGCCACATAATGGCCATGTCAGCCCCACTCTCTGTGGGAGCCCATACAGCTTGCCTCTGTCCGCACAGGGGGCACATCCCATTACTCTGAGCATACAGGGCCTCAGACCAGACGTGCCTCCAGGACAGAGATGTGCTTGACTCTTCTGGGCCCCATTGTGCCCATATTTGGTACTTTCATCCATGGAGGGGATTTCTTTGATTTCTCTCAGGAAGAGAAATGATCAGGGGCTTAGCAAGCAAGGAGAGAAGGTCAAGGGATTTCCAAGTGGAAAGAGGGGGTTTTGGAGAGTTGGAAAAGCACCTTTAATATTAGAATGTCATTTAACATCTACATTTTTAAATAGTGAGTGAATTCTTTTTGTAGGTTTTATAACTTGAGCAGTGAACTGTCCTTGGATCCTGGCAGATGAAGTTACGTAGAAGACAGTTTTTCTCCAGGACAGTGGTGGTAGGGAGGAGGAAATTTGGACACTGTGCCAGGAAATCCTATTAGAATCACCTCAGGGCATTAGCTTTTTATTTTCCTCAAAGGGGAGCAGAGGTTAAATACATTTGCAAAACCCTTCCACATATTAGCTGAGTGCCTGAAACTCTTTATGCCAAGGGAGTACATTTTGCCCCCCCTTTTTTAAAAAAAGCCCCTTATGAATCCTTCTAGGATGAAGGGAGCTATTCTGGGTGGAAGGAGCCTTCTAGCTCACTCCAGCCTCCAGGTTCCTGACAGGCCCCCTGCAGCTTGCCAGCACCACTCCGATTCTGCAGGGTGACTGGCACAGGGGCTGTGGGCGGTGGCAACTATAAATAGGCAGCCACCACCTCCCAGACTGCTGGGCACAGTGCTGTGAGGCCAAGGCCAGTGGGCGCTGCTACTGGGAGGCCACAGTGACCCAGTGAGAGCCCAGGACCAGCACCCAGGTGCCATGCGCTCATCACCCTGGAGAAAGAGCAGATTCACTGATTTCATCCTGTATGCCAGACACTTTCGTTGCATCCCCTCACTCTGTCCTTCTAACAGTATTGCAAGGTTCATACCATTACAGTTCCCCTTCCCAGATAGAAAGAGGAGGCTCTGAGAGGTGAAGCCAGTTGCCTGAATTCAGGGGCAGAGTTAGGATAAAACCATATCCGCCTAGGTCTGGTGTGCCTGCTCTTATCTTAGGCAGTGTGGGGAACGGTTAGGGATTGTGCAGGACGCAGGAGTGAGGCTGCCTGAGATCCAGGCCTGGTTTCCCCACATTCTAGCTGTGTGGCCTGTGCAGGCCACTTACCCTCTCTGTGCCATGTGCCATCATCTAACCCATTATAATGTTATTTGGGAGGATTCAATGAGATAAATAGTATAAGGCTCTGATGACAGTGCCTGGCACACAGCAGTAATAACAGTGACTAAGATTTGAACCCTGATCCCACCTGGGCTGGCCCCCCTCCCCGCCCTCCTGCTTAGCAGCTGGGTGCCCATGGGCAAGTCACCAAGCATGAGCTTGGAGCCCAACTGCCTGGGTTCAAATCCTGGCACCCCTACCTTCCAGTGGCTGGGTAAGAACTCTGTGGGCCTCACTTTTCCTCTGTGAAATGGGCATATTAGCACTACCCTCATAGGCTGCCTGAGGGGATTAATCCAGGTAATGAAGGCGAGGAATTGTGAATAATCTCTGGGATGAGCGTTCAAGACCTATTAGTTGCTATAACGTTTTCCTGGAAAAAAAGAAGCAACTGGAGTGGTCTTTTCCCGTTCCCATTTAAAAACTGGTTGTTGCTCACGGTGATGTGTACTAATGAGGAGCTAAGAGCCTATTTATTTTGTAGACTTCTTAAAGAAGGCAACACCAGCCTTCTGGTAGCGCAGGATGAGGAGGAACTAGGCTGGGTCCTGGCAGAGCCGGGGACCGTGGCTCCACGGGGAAGGGGGAGAGGAGCTTTGGGAACATACCTTCCACCAGCGTGCTCCTCCGCGAGTGGGTACACTGACTGTCCCATCTCCCCACAGACGGTGTACAACCTGGCTGATGTGGCCTGCAAGTGCCACGGGGTGTCGGGCTCGTGTAGCCTCAAGACGTGCTGGCTGCAGCTGGCCGACTTCCGCAAGGTGGGCGATGCCCTGAAGGAGAAGTACGACAGCGCGGCGGCCATGCGGCTCAACAGCCGGGGCAAGCTGGTGCAGGTCAACAGCCGCTTCAACTCGCCCACCACGCAGGACCTGGTCTACATCGACCCCAGCCCCGACTACTGCGTGCGCAACGAGAGCACGGGCTCGCTGGGTACGCAGGGCCGCCTGTGCAACAAGACGTCAGAGGGCATGGACGGCTGCGAGCTCATGTGCTGCGGCCGCGGCTATGACCAGTTCAAGACCGTGCAGACGGAGCGCTGCCACTGCAAGTTCCACTGGTGCTGCTACGTCAAGTGCAAGAAGTGCACGGAGATCGTGGACCAGTTCGTGTGCAAATAGCGGGCGCCCGCCGCCCGCCCGTCACCCAGCCCCGCCCCCAGGACCCACTTATTTATAGAAAGTACAGTGATTCTGGTTTTTCTCTTTTAATATTGTTTTATTCCCCCCCATCATTGCAACCGGAACCATTTTTTTTCTGTTCCCATCTAAGAACTCTGTGGTTTATTATTAATATTATAATTATTATTTGGCAATAATGGGGGGGTGGGAACCAAGACAAATATTTATTTTGTGCATCTTTGGAAAGGTAAGACAAGACTTCTTTTGATGGTATAGGATTAGGGGGGGATTTACATGTACCCTTAGTTGTGTGCACATCTAGAAGGGAAAGGAAAGATGTTTTCTTTTTCTCAACTATGGGGTCAAATATAGGACAGGTAGCATCCAGCTGGAAGGGGGTGGTACAGCTCTCTGCACGATTCAGCTTCTGTGACCAAAATGAATTGTAAATGCTCTGGGGAAGGTGGAGCGGTCTGGAGAAACAAACACAAAATGAGACCCACCCCCTTCCCTAGGGGCTGCCAGCCTGAAACATTTTCAAAATGGTAATTTAAAAAAGTTAACAGGGAGAATCTCACATCCCTCAAAGATGTATCATTTGTCTTATTTTTCTCAAATGTTCCATCTGCAGAGGGTCCTGTACTGGTAGCTACTGAAACTTGGGGAACAGGGAGGAAAGCCTTGGGAGTTAAAAAAAAAACACCTTAAAAATGCCTGTATCGAGATACTGATTTGATGCTGTTACAGGAATTAGGTTGTCAGATTGGAAAAGGATCCCTGAATGATTCTGGGTACCAGCCATTTTGTTTGGAGAGAGGCAGGGAGGTTGGATTGAATATAAAAAGAAAAATATACTGTAATTTTCTTAGGGATGCTTGGTTAATAAATGATAATGATGAAAATAATAAATGAATTCCATTCACAGATCCTCAGCCCAAACAACAAGGTAACTGCCTGCAGGTCAGGGCTGCACCAGAGCAGAAACCCTGTGTGAAGGGGAGAAAGTGAAGTTGGCCCTCGGGCTTGACCCCAGGCCCTCTCTGATTCCTCCTGGCCCTGCTGTGATGTGATGCTGGTCAAAAGGCAGCTCCACTGGGTCCCCTTTGATTGTGGGACAGGAAATGAAACATTACAAGCTCCACTTGGGAAACAGTTTGCTACTTAGGGATTTTTTCCCCCTAAAACTTTTATTTTGAGGAGCAGTAGTTTTACATGTTTTAATGACATTACATGGCTAATGGAGTTCCCAGAGGTGTTGCAGCGTTTCACGCTTGTGATCCTGTGTGTAGACTATCCACTCCAGCTTTTCCTATTATACTGCAGGTGTACCCTAAGACTGTTCCTAGTGTACTTGAACAGTTGCATTTATAAGGGGGGTGTGGTTTAATGGTGCCTGATATCTCAAAAATCTTTTGTACATAACATATATATATATACACACACATCTATATATAAATATAAATATAGTTATATCTCAGTGCAGCCAGTGACTTATAGTTTACTCTGGGGTTATTTCTCCCTCTAGAGCATTGTTATCCTTCAATGCAATCCAATTGGGATTTTTCCAGAAGGTTTCCGAGCTGAGCTTGGGCTGCAGCCCTGAAGCGATCGATCACACCTGGAGCATCACAAAGCAGCCTTGTTTCTGAGGAATCTGGAAGGTCTTACTGCTAATGCATGTTGGTTTGAAGATTTCTTGTGTCGTCCCTGCACCATCCCCTTCTCTCCAACCTCTATTTCTGTATACTTTCCAGAAAGGGCATTACTCGTTTGTTATAGACATGGAAACCAAGAGACATTCAAAACTCAGAAGCATTGTCTACGTTTCCATTTCCTTGGTTCATTTTGCAGAGTGGAAACCGGTGCTTCTTAGATCTGGTAGTACCTGTTTGAGTCCGTAAGGAAAATCGAGCTCATGACATAACATAGCTAGTTAAAAAAAAAAAAAAAAAAAAAAAAAAAAAATTTTTTTTTTAAAGCAAAGGACACCTCTTTCCTAAAAGTGCCATCAGATGTGTTCTTATCTCAGACTTAGGCTGTTTTTAAAAGTTTGGAAAGATACTCATCTCCTGCAACCCTCCTAGGCTCAGTGGCCTTCATAATCACCTCCGCCACCTGTGGCTCTTTAATTTATTGCACGAAGATATTCTCGTCCCCTCAGTTGCAGTGAATTGCAAGCAAAAGATCTTGAAATTGAAAAGCACTAATTAGTTTAAAATGTCACTTTTTTGGTTTTTATTATACAAAAACCATGAAGTAATTTTTTTTTGCTAAACCAGATTTTGTTCCTTTTTAGTGATTCATGTTTATGAAGAGAGTTGAGTTTAACAATCCTAGTTTTTAAAAGAAACTATTTAATGTAAGATATTCTACTTGTCATTCAGATATTATGTATATCTTCTATGGCCTTTATTCTGTACTTTTAATGTATATATTTCTGTCTTGCGTGATTTGTAAATTTCACTGGTTTTAAAAAACAAACATCGAAAGGCTTATGCCAAATGGAAGATAGAATATAAAATAAAACATTACTTGTATATTGGTAAGTGGTTTCAATTGTCCTTCAGATACTTCATGTGAAGGTTTTTTTGAGAAACCATGAGGGATAGTTTAGAATGGCTACACGTCAGAATAATAGAAGAGTAGAGAGTTTTACCAAAACCAAACTTCGGGAGCTTCAAAAGATTTCTATATGTAACGGAACAAAAGGGGAATTCTCTTTCCTATATGTGTTCCTCAAAAAAAAAAAAAAAGCAAGCAAGCAAGCAGATGGCTTAAAGCTGGTTATAGGATTGCTCACATTCTTTTAGCATTATGCATGTAACTTAATTGTTTTAGAGCGTGTTGCTGTTGTAACATTTCGGAGAAGAACTGAAAAGGCACACGCTTTTATCCATGACCAGTATTTTGGTCCAAAAGTGTATTTGTGTTTACCACTGCATCTGTTTGAAGTTACTATGGACGGATTGTCTCTATGCCCCTTTGAAAGTAGTTCTATGAAAAGCAAGCCTCAGTCTGCAGAGAATGAAACTCATTGGAAACTAAAGGTTCGTTGTGTTAAGTGCAATTAATATGAGTTCTTGTGCTTTCTGAAAATGTACACCGAAATCTGGCCGCACAGATTGATACGTTAGCCCTTTGCTTTTTTCTTTCCGGATAACCTTGTAACATATTGAAACCTTTTAAGGATGCCAAGAATGCATTATTCCACAGAAAAACAGTAGACCAACATATAGAGTGTTTAAAATAGCATTTCTGGGCAAATTCAAACGCTTGTGGTTCTAGGACTCACATCTGTTTCAGTTTTTCCTCAGTTGTATATTGACCAGTGTTCTTTATTGCAAAAACATATACTTCATTTAGGAGCGTCAGCATATTTTCCCTTCTCATCCTGGAGTGCATTCAAGATCTTCCCAATACAGGAAAATTAACAAAAAATTTATATATATGCAGCGGCAAACAGAGCCATGTTCAAAATAGTAATTATGGGCTCAAGGAATAGGAAGATTGTTTTAAGTTTTAGTCCGGTTTATCTGTTCAGTTCTTCAAGCCGCTGACCTCCTGAGACTGATTTAGTAGCCTCCCCAAAACCCTTTTCTCATACAATTTTGCTAATACCAGTTTCCAATTTGTTTTTGCAAAATGTTATTCAAGCCACTGGAATTATCAAATATGACGCTCTAGCAGGATAAGGGCTCCAAATGAGAGACTGGTACTGGCTGACTCCAAGAGATCATTAGCAAAAACAGTCCCCAAAGACTGAGTGGAGCATAATATAAATAGAGATGGATAAAAAGGTACTTATAACTTGAAGCCTATATGTAATGCAAGTATGCACCAAGGCATAGGTCGGAGATACCGCATTATCACTGTAAAGTATACTTTTAAAATATTTATTTTTTTTAAAAAGTATTTTTTAGTCTCCCCGCTCTCTATGGAATGGGGAAAACCAGAGGCCGTTGTTTTGAAAATAAGACGATGAAATGAGTTTTTAATACAGGAAACATTTGGCAATGTAGGAATTAAAACTAATTTACCTGTTTGCACAAACTTTACACTTAAACCTGATGATTGGATGATATTTTAGTGAAACATCATCTTGTTAGCCAACTTTAAAAAATGGATGTAGAATGATTAAAGGTTGGTATTTTTTTAAAAGCAAAAAATGTATCGATTTGAATTTAGAAGATTTCATTCAAATGCTGTCTCAGTATTTCAAAAGCAAAAAAGAAATGAGGGAAATTGCCGCTTAGATCAGTTTTATAAGCAGTGTACAATTCGCTGGGCTAGAATTGAGATAAAGATTATTTATTTTTGTTCATACCTTGTACTTTTCTATTAAAATCATTTTCTGAAATTGGCGCAGTCACGTGTGTGTTTAGCAGAGATGGCGTCCATGGCCATCAGAGCTGGATGCGAGCGTGATGGCTTAGGGCCTCCAGAAAAAGAAATTCACGTTTCACGCGTGTGCATGATATTTTGGTCGAACGTTGAGGGTCTACTTTGTATTTTAAGGCTCCTTTTTGTTTTCCTTGATGCTCATCTTATCTCTAATTCATTCTGCTGCCGCTAACATCAGGGTCATGTTAGGAGGTTATTACTCAGTGTCGGAATTGAGCACAGTGACACGTGACATTATGACGAAATGCCAGGGCAAGAGAAGAAAGACTAGGATTTGAGGGGAGAGGGGAAAAAACGTTCAAAATAAACAGACTGAATCACCTGAAACATCCTGCTGGTTGCTTTTTGCATGTTGCATGGTTGCGAGCCAGGTGTTTAAAACCTCAGCACTGTTGGTATTTGGGTCTGGGTTAATTCTTTATTGTGGGAGTGTCTCCCGTGTGATGGAGGCTTTGCAGCATCCCTGGCCTCTAACCACTAGATGCCAGCAGTACCTCCCCCAATTCGTGACAACCAACAATGTCCTCAGACGTTGCAGAATGTGCCCCAGGGAGCAAAATCACCCCCAGCTGAGAACCACAGCTTTAGATGGAGGGACTGAGGTCCTGAGCACTTGAGGAATTCAGGCTAAGTACAATGGGGGACTGTTCACTTGCCTGAATTGACTAATGAGCCAGAAAAGTCCCTTGCAAGTTTTCCTGTATAGAAATGGAGATGCAATGTCTTCCGTAGGGC